CCCTGTGATGGACTTGCGACCCGTCCAGGGTGTACCCCGCCCCTCGCGCAGTGATTGCTGGACATGGGCACTGGCGACCCCCATGACCCAAAATGGAAGAAGTGGGTAAAGATAATGGATGGATGGATGGATGGATGGATGGATAGATGGATGGGTAATGCTCCATAATGGAGGAAGGTCAACAATACTAGGAAATGGCTGGTCATGTCCTTTTCTGGATTTAGGAACTTATTTACTCTGACCTGGTTTTAAGGCATTAGAACGGACCTATAATGGATGAATCACAAGGCCCCTGTGTGCAAGAACGTATCTGTTTCCATGCTCTTACAAAACCCATTAGATTAAAAAAAGTGCCTGCATTTTTGTTTGGGAAGTGTTCACTTGATATTATTTGTGCCAAATGTACAATAAAAAAAAAAAAAAGTGAATAATTTCTGGTTGCACAAATCCCTATTGCCTTGAATAAAAAGTATTGTTTTTTATAGTAGGAAGTGCATGTGCATAGAGGAGGATGTGTTAGTGTTGTATGAGATCTAATAACTTTTTTTTTTAATCATGCATTAGAATTAGGCTTCTTATGCTTTCCTTCTTATGCTTATACACATGTATGCATAATCACCACCGTCATAATTTAACTTCACCATTATTAAAACACAATTATAGTATAAGTATGTTGGTATGTCCAGGCAGTTATTGTCACTGTATTTGAAAGATGTCTGCATATTTGTTCTCAATGCATGTTTCCCCAAAAAAATAATAAAATCAGTATTACTATTATAGTACATTATTGTTATTAACTGTGCTCTTATACTCTGAAATGGTTTCTCTTTACCAGGTATCACCACGGTCCTCACCATGACAACCATTAACACCCACCTGAGAGAAACCCTCCCCAAAATCCCATATGTCAAGGCCATAGACATGTACTTGATGGGCTGCTTTGTGTTTGTCTTCCTGGCCTTACTGGAGTATGCACTGGTGAACTACATCTTCTTTGGTCAGGGTCCACAACGTCAGAAAAAAGCAGCTGAGAAGACAGCAACAGCAAACAATGAAAAGATGAGAATGGATCCAAACAAGGTAACATCTTGTTAGGTTAGTCAGGCTGATACATACTGTATACACCATTCTGCTTCCTAAACAAAGTAGAAATGATGGATAAAATAATAATAATAATAAAAAAAACTAATTTTAAAGTTAAATTGTGTCCTGCTATAATAGTAACAAAATACAAGCACAAAAAAAGACCAATTCATGTAGTTCTGAATGTTTGATTATCAGCTAGACGTGCCGTATGCTGATATGTTTTAGTCCTCATCTGGTGATACTTGAATGTACATTTCTTTGCACGTCTTAGCTCCATGCTTCTCGAGCTGTGGGCAAATACCACTAAGTGTACTCAGAATCATTTTAGTCTTACTCAGAAGCAATTTTAGTTTTAATTATTTATACGTAAAATGACAAACAAGTCAATCATCTTGAGTTAAACTGCGATGCAAACATAATGAACATGGCTCCAAATGGAAATCGCCTGAAAGGAACGTTAAATGGAGAGTATTTTAAGAAACTGTTGTAACTGATGGTTAACAGTCCAGTCACATTCCTAGAGGACCTGTTTGCAACAAAAGGTGCAAAGCAGAGAGAATTTGATTCAAGTTATCTCAAATTTGTATTCAGTTGTCCTGTGAAAAATGAAAAGCCCAGACTACAGTGTATGATCTGAGATTTGTTTCCTTTTTTTGTGCCCGTTGAATGGTAGACACATACATTACGGTGACGTCTTCATGTATTTGTTGGTCCTTAAACTTTCTCTTGTCCTGCCCATAACTTCTAATTTGCTCAAGATAATTTAAA